CAGTCTTGGCGATCTGTGAGGCAAAATTGCGTATCATTGGCTGAGTAGGTGGTAAGCCTCTATCTGTTAGTCGATTGATATAGGCGATTAGGGCCTGCTCCTGCTGTGGGTGGAGGAGCTGCCGTTTTTGGCCACCTATCGCGCGTGAGGCGTGTAGGCCTTGGTGTCTTCGGGTAAGCGTAGATCGAACAACACTATATTTTTTTGCAATATCTGTATACGAAAAAGGCTCATCAGGTCCTAGGGCATTAATAGCTGCAAGCGCAGCCTCAATATTAGCCATAGTGGTGGGGATACGACGCGTTGAGGTTGAGGTGGTTGTAAGGCGCGCGCGCACTTTGTGGTCGCGCGCACTTTGTGGTGGGGCTAGTTACGTTAGGGGCGAACGTACGACGCGTGACGCCACGAGTTTCAAAGTCATCCCAAGATTCAGCTACAGCCTAGCGACGCCACTGCTGAAGAGGCCAGAAAAGCCATTCCATTTAGTATTTTCGATGCGCTGGCATCTTAAGTCATACATAATGCAATATCTTTTTCCATAGTTGGAATGTCATTCATTCCAGGTTTATGCACTGATACAGTGTAAAGTAATTTCATCGCATATTTGAAAAAATCTGTTATAGTTACGCACTCTTAGCGTGGAAATGTCAAAGATATCGCCAGAACAGTGTGTCAATTGAGGTACCAAAAGTCAAGTATGAACCTCTAACCCGTAAACAATCGTCTTTGATGTTCCTGCTATCCATCTAGGGGTTATTTTCTTATATCATTCGATGTGCGCATACGACTTCCAGTTCTTGGTATCCTCCATCTCGCACCATACTACGCAAACCAGTCTCAAAAGAGGAGACAAAATTACTGAGCGAATGTTGGAAATCTAGGCAGCCGAGTCGAATGATGGCGGCAACTTGGGGCATGAGCTAAGTTGCCCACTGTGCGAATGCCCCGTGCACCCGCATATGGTGCTCGACAAATGTAGCAAAACTCGAAACCGCATCCTTTCCGAGTACCTGGAAAAAGTCAGCACCTTACCCAAGAAGAAGGCAAATTTGTGCCCTGAACTCACAAGTCATATGATCGCAACCATGTATCTTTTCAATGTAAGATCCACACCCCGGACACTCCCTGGTTTCCCGTTTCAACAACGCGATACTAGCCTCGTCTTGTTTTTTTCGAACAAGAGCTCTTTCTTTCTTTGTTCCGCATTCTAATTTTTCGATTTCAATCCGCTCATTGTATTGTGTGCATGACTCGTTTTCATGGAAAGGGATCATGGGCGTATGCGCAGTGCATATTCGATACCCGCAGGCGGCACAGCGAAAGATTGGGCCTTCAACACCACTGCTGTGAATTTGTCCTGAATTGCAACCTACAGCTGGACAATACAGAAATTCTGGATCTGTACTGAGGAGGCTACGCATAGAGAGTTCGTCGAATCGAGCAAAGACTTCTGGGGAAGCGTACTTTTGGACGTCTTGGTGAATGATTAATGCCTCGCAATCGCTGGACGGGCAAGCGATACTGTTTGTATCATGAGTGGCCATTTTCTGATCCAGCCATTCAAAAAAACAATCGTGGCACACATCTGGGATGTGATTGCAGGACGCAAGTTGCGGAAAGTCTTGAATTGGGGCTGATACCAGACACACAGCACACTCTCGTACGCTGATCGGTGTCTCCCTCGCATTGTCGATGTTATTCCAAATCCAACATGTGGCGCTGTTCCAACTCAATCTGATTTCTTTCTGAGATGACTTGATATCTTGGTCTGTAGAAACTGAGCTGGCAGTGTGTGGTTGGGTTTTACACTTGACTTTATCGCGGGGATTCGTCGAAGTAGAACGTCGAAGGATAACTCGGAGAGCAGGCCTATGCCTCGCCAAAAGACCTTTGTAGGGATACCACCCTTGGATGGAGTATGAGTGCTGATTGCTTTATTCAATTGTCTTTGAACCACCATGCCACAGGAATGAGAAGATACAGCAGCCTTCAGTCTCCGCTGTGACACTTTCTTCATATGGCGACATTTCTTGCAGTTTTTCCAGTACTTGTCCTTTGCCATCTGCTTGTCCGCTTGTGTGAGAATATCGCAGCATTTCAGGCAACGAAATTCTGGAATTGGCGGGCTGGGTATTGGAGCTTCGTCGCTGGTGTTGGCGGAACCCGGTCCAGGTAGAGACATTTTGTCTTTGATCTCTATGTCACAACAGCCTTGGTGATAACAACGAGAAGGTAAGAGATTGTGAAATAGCAAAACTAACGCTAGGCAACAACAAATTCATAATTTGACGAGCCGATGTCGGAAATAAGTGAGAGGTAAAACTGGGCTCACGAGTGATTGGTTGGGCCAATCTTCGAAGTGAGTGAGTGGTGAAAGCACCAGATTGATATCACTTAACTCGTACACAATCACTCATTTAGCTCTTTCGTCAAAGTATACCAGTATTGCATACAAGGTGTTGGGTACGATACCTCACTACTTTACAAATTACGCTATCCGTAACTAAATCACCCATACAAGATAAAACCACACTACTCCTACTTCAGCGTAGAATTCTCCAAAAGAAAAAAAACTCTGATGAGAGAATCGAAGCATTTCATCAAAACCAGCTTTCTTCCATGCCACAGCAAACGTTTCAGTGCCCCCGGCACCCCCCATCCTATACCACCACCACCACTCACACTACGCATCTCCCTACCTAACCACACCAACGTGTCACCCTTCCACGAACGAGAAAACCACGCAAACGCGCAACACAATGACGGAGTATAAATACGTCCCGTAGCCCCGTAGCCCCGTAGCTCCGCACATCCGCACATCTGCGCCCCCTCGGCCCTTCACGCTACTCACCACTAGCAGCACCCCCACACGCTCCGTCTCACGATCAGCAGATCTGCAAGCCGTTGCTCGGCAGCAGCACTACCACTACTTACTACCACTATCGCCACTTTCTCTACCTACTCATGTCCTCCTCAACCCAGCCTCAAAAACCCCAATACCTCCTTGTCCCGGGTACGTTTTCCGCGCCGCCGCCTCCGACGCACTAGCGCTTACTTACCGTGAGCTCGCGTTATCCGAATTCCACATCTGGGCGCGTGCGCGTGTCTGTGTGTATACATATTGGTTTGTGTTAAGCCAGGGATTGCGAGACTGGAATCAAGATAAGTAATAGCTAGGGGTAGAGTAGATAGGGAAAGGAAAGGGGTGCTGGGCTCGGCTGGATTGGGGCTTAGGTAAGATGTGCTGACGATAACTGAGGCTTAGGGGAAAAAAGGGCTTAGGTAGGGTTGTGTTGTATGTTGTGTGTGCGTGTGTGTGTGTGAAGAGAGGTAGGTTGGTTGATATTTGGGTATATAAGAAGAGAGCAGGTAGCTGGTCGGTGTAGAGGTACGATGAGGATGAGGGTGTTTGCAATAATCTGTCTGCATACCCAGATACCGCGGTTCTCGCTTCCCGCGACACAGAAACTTTGCGTTAGAAACGAAAGTAAACGTATGATACTATGCTATAGTCCTGATATTTTGATTATTGGTTAGTGTCGTGAGGACGCGAGGCAGGCAACGGGAAGGTCAAGATCCTTGCTAATTGCGGCACAGCAGCAGATTCTCGTATTCGTACGGATTGCATATTGTTAGCCTTGGTTTTATATGCCATGATTCAAGCAGAATGAAGGCCATTTCTCTCCCTTCTTATCTTTTTTTTCAACTATACTAGAGTCATTGTTGTATGCTGCGTATCAATCTAGACATCATATGGTTTTTCTCATTTGGAAAGGGGAAAGGGGGGCCGGGAGATTGCAGTTGTTAATCATGTCATTCTAAAGACATTACCATTGATTAGACTACCTCGCTTTAGCATAGCCCTTCTCCTGATTTCTTTAGGCTGCAATACGACTCGGCAACAAACAAGTCTCATATCATCCTTCATGTACAGGCCGAGGAATGGGATGGATTAGCGCCTAACCGAATAATCCATGGTTGTGCTCTTAGGCGCATATCCCCCAGACTCGCCATTTATCCAGCCATTGGTATAGTTCAAGAGATACTTTTCTTTTCTTCTCAAAAACAAGAAGGGATTCGTTGCGCATATTCCAGCAAATGTAGATGACCCACATTACGAGCCCGTTCCCCACTTCATAACACCTTATTTTTCTTGCGTGGCCACAGCAACCATGCCTTCTCCTCGTTACAAAGGATCCAAATTACCTGGAAGCCTAACTCTTGCCTTTGCATTTCGGTACACTCGGTACTCCACTTGCGAACGGTTGCCGTCCTAACCGCTTCGTATGCGCCGCACACTTGGCAGCCCCCACTTTGCACCGCCCCCTCGGCTGTGTTGCTGTGTGTGGAGGCCTGAGACATGTCGTGTTGTCACAACTTGATCATGATAATTAAGGCCATGCTTTTTTCCCACAAATCAGGTTTGGTGGTTGCCTTCAGCTGTGCAGTTTGCTTGCTTTTCCGGATGTACTGGTGTGTGGGCAAGCTGCCTCATACTCGGTCAAGCACTGGCTTGCGCATCGATCGTATTCGAGAGTGAGCGATTGTGTTACCCGGTCGACGTGTTGGGTTCTACATTCGCTGACGCAAGGCTCGGCATCGAGAAGGAGACGGCAGCAATAGGCGGTGCCGACCTCCTTTGTGCAGAGATTTCTCCCAGTCGTGTGCAAGTCGAGGTAATCTGTGACCGAAGTGACGATTTGGTCCGTCGCATGGGTGAAGGACGGCACAAGTTGATAGAAGAATACCAAGATACAGGAAAACACGAGAACTGTCGCAAGAAGCGGGTGCGGCCGCGGGGCATATCTGAGGCTTGGTTTGGTAGCGGGGCGCATGTCGTGATGTCCAAAGGGGGTGTCCTCGTTTCCCAATTCCTGGCTCTTTTATAGCATCAATCTCTTCAAAGGAAGATGCTGCTGTGTAACAAGTTGAGGTACAAAAAACAATCGTATACTCGACAATGGAGCGTCAAAAGGAAGAGAGAAGAGAGAAGAAGGCGAAGCGAGACAGTGTTCGTCTGACGGCAGGCTAACAATCAGGCGGCGCATATGTACAAGACAACGCTACGGCCAGTCAACAGCTAGTTTGTTCTTGTCAAGGCGGCGGCGGTAAGACGGCCGCGCTAGCGTCTACTCTATTGTGAAGCGTGCCATGTACGCCAAGTGCCAAAGGTAAGGGCACTGACGCCAACCGCTTTGCCCAAACAAGGCCAAAATCTCATCTAATACGACGTGCTTGGCAACCTGTGCCCGGTTAGCATATCCGCACCCGCCTTGACGGTGAACAATTGCGTACGGTTGGCCATAGGATCCAAGCCGAGTGGAAATGTCAATCCGGGGTAGTGACATTCGGTTTCAGCTGCCGTACAAGCTGAGCGTTGGCGACGGCTGAAACCGCAGGTTCTTAGAGCTCATTTCACCGGCTGCCTCCTAGTAAAGCTACGGCATGATCGTGATAATGCCCGTGGCCTATCCGGCACGTCCGTGACAGCGAAGTGGGAAGGATCTGCGAAGTTTATATTCCCAATGGGACAAGATTCGGCCCATAGTTAGTCCGTCAGCGTCGACAACTCATTTTGACCCGTGGGTGCGGGAGCGAGAATACGGAGCCCGTCCAATGAGCCGCCCACGATACCAGTTCAGTGCGCGCGGCGCGAGACGGCCGAGGCCGGCACTAATCCTAAGGTGCCAGCGTCATTACGGTGTCGTGAATGCAGCAATTGAGACGTGAGAATATCATGTGCGTTATAGGTATTGAAGTACATGCTGTGCAATCGTGATTCTACCTGGCCAACAGGGCATTGAACGTATTGGAACCGACCCTGGAAAGGTGCGTCTGTGGAGATCTAAATGAGTAGATAGAGTTTGGGCGTTTACACGATAATGTATAATGAAGACCGCTAATCCCAGGAGATGCTAGGCAGGTTAGCACGAGTTTCAGGCGCCGGGCGATCCAAACGGTGAAAAACTTACAAAAGCATAATCCCTGCGCCGGTGAACATTGCGGCGAACTGCATCAGGGTTTTCCTCAACTCCAGCCCTTTGTTGGGTCCCGTCTCCAATAACTCGGGGATCACGGCAACCGTTCCAACATACAAAAAGGTACCGGCGGTGAAGGGTAGCAACATGTCTCCCCATTGGAGACTTGTGCCCATAAGGCCAGGGCCATTTGACACGGCCGATGCAGAGTTTCCGCCAAATTCTTGCACAGCGATGCCAATGCAAGTTCCCAGGAAAGCGCCCACGGCAGTTACAAACTGAGCGCCCATGGCTGCACGCTTGCTGAAGCCAGATTGAATGAGGAGTGCGAAATCGCCAACTTCGTGAGGAATCTCATGGAAAAAGACAGCCACGGTCGTCGTAGCCCCGATTGTAGGCGACGCGTAGAACGAGGAGCTAAGCGCTAGGCCGTCGGTGATGTTGTGGGTGAAATCAGCAATGAGGTTGAGATAACCACCGAGCTTGACGCTCGCATTGATCTCCTTGTCCATCTCTGCTGGCTCGTTTGCGTTGCCTGGTTTGTCGCCCGCAGCCGCCTTTCTTGCGCGGACTTTGTCTTTTGACTCGCTGACCTCCACGCCTGTTGCCTTGGCCGTAGCATCGGCCTTTTCATGCACATGTCCATGGGAATGATCGTGTCCGCCCTCGCCTCCGGTCGCAATGCGCAGGCCCTTGTCCATGGCCACGAATGTAATGAAGCCCACCATGATAGCAACACCGAGCAGGAGATTCTTGTTAGGCTCCACCATGACGAACTTGACCGAGTCGTGCTCCTCTTCACCCAAAAAGATCTCTGGCAGCAGATGAAACAGCGTGTCGCCCAGCAGGCCACCTACAGCAAACGCGACCATGACGGACAGCGACGAGGGGTCGATGTTGGGTGGACATAGCGCCAGCAGGAAGTTGGGCGGGCCGGAGATATAGAGAGTTGCCAGCAGCGAGTTCACCGCAGGGGTGCCGGGGAAGAGGAAGGCGAAGATCTGGGCGGTGAGGGAAGAAGTAGTAGGGCTCGAGGCTTTTCTGTGCTGGTTGAGAGCTTGCACAAGGGGACATTCCTAGCCAGTGCGTGTCAGTACCGACAGGAACACACGAACACGCAACATCAGGCGGCGCTTCAGGGAACTTGACAAGAAGCACTATGCCAGCTCGACGTGTATCCCACGCCCCGGAGTGTTCACACGTAACATATGGTGTGCATGCGAACAACGTACCTGCAATTGCTCCTCAATGTCGTGAGTTGTCAAGTTCTCTACAGATGTTCCCGTCTCGCCCTTGACGGCAGCGCCAGCCACATTCCAGGCCAGCACTCCAGCAAAGATTGCCAAGGACAGCAAGGTCCTGTTGCGACGCGATATCATGGTGGCCACGTAGTTGGATCTAAATACCCGGATATGGGCGTGGAGGGGGAAGGGGGGAGGATGCTGAAGATGCAGGGGCGGCAGCTGTACATGTACTGCAGTCTGGCCTCAGGCCAGGTTCGGTGGTCCGCCTATCGATAAGACTAGCGCCCCGACGGCAGAAAGGTTCGCCAAAACTTTTGGAAGATGCGCCTCGCGACAGCTCCCGCCCTTTAAACCACCACTCCGATATCCCCAAACACATTCCGGATCACACGAGATGGGTCGCGAACTGCAGAAGAAGAAGAACCGGTCTTCAATCCCCAAGAAGCGCCAAAAGGGACCGTCCAAGAAGAAGATTTTGCAAAACCCCATCATAGCGCAGCACTGGTACGATGCGTCGTTGCTATTGCCATTGTGCTGGACGCTGACGGGCAATGTAGGAATCAAAAAGAAACACTATCGCAAAACTACCGCCGCCTTGGTCTCACGGCGCGCCTCAACCATGCCACTGGAGGCACAGAAAAGACGATTGCGCTGCTTGGCCTCAATGACGAAAAGTCGTCGCGCGCGGATACCGCCGCCGGCAGCACAGCAAATGCCCTGAACATTGTGTCCAAAGCGAAGAAGCCGGAGACTATTGTCACAGAAGAGGTTGAAGTCGAGCGCGACCCCGAGACGGGAGCCATTCTCCGCGTCACTGGCTCGCTGGAGAGCAAGGATAACCCGCTAAACGACCCGCTGAACGAAATCGAAGCCGAGGGCGAGGAGATGGAATGGAACGGATTTGCCATGGTGCCTCAGCACAGAGACGGTGAGCCGGAGAACCCGGTCATCAAACAGCTGGAAGAGGCCGCCATGAACGGCGCAAAGAAAGGACCGCGGGGCCAGAGCCAGCGAGAGCAAGAATGGGTGGAGCGATTGGTGAACAAGTACGGGGACGGCTATGCGAAGATGGCGAGGGACATGAAGCTCAACCCCATGCAGCAGACGGCAGCAGATATACGGAAACGGGTCGTCAAGTGGCAGAAAGCGCATGCAAAGGCGTGAGTGCATGGCGAGGCTTTTTACAGCGTATGTGCATGGAAGCAGGCGTCAGGGCGTTTCGGGACACAGCTATCACGCGCATCAGCATCCATGTGTGTTTGCGAGAGAGAGCTTGTTAGCATTTCAAAAATATTCTAGTCGTAGCGCCAACCCCAGACGATGCGTGTGAAGGCGACGATCAATGACTCGCCGTGCTGTGCCCTCAAGGCCACAACCTAGTCAGTGAGCCCTGAGCTCAACCCCGCCGCTTGCAGGCTTCCCACTTCCCACGCCGCACCCCGCGACAACACAGCATCACCACCCTCAAGCATGCGTGGGCCAACTGCATATGAACAGCACCACCAGCCTCCAAAATGAAGACCGCGACCGCGAACAAGCCTGTAACGAGTGTCGCCGACGAAAGGCCCGATGTGATAAGACGCTGCCCGAATGCGGGCCCTGCAAGAGGAACCGCAGGCACTGCCTCTATGAACGGCACAGCAGGACGCCCTTGACGCGCAAATATCTGACCCAGATCGAAGAGCAGCTTCGCCGATCTCAGGCCCAGGTCGCCCGCGCTGAGCAGCGCCTCCAAGCTGCCGAAGCGCGCGTGCGACAGCTCGAAGCAGCCCAGAGCAATGCCGCCCAAGCGCTCCACCCCCAGGATGCCACCACAGATGGTGCCATTGATGACGCTCCCATTGACGTCTCGCTCGAGGCTCCGCCTTCAGGCCCGGCTGATTTCAGCTGGGACGAGCAATCGCAGGACAGCACCCCGGCTGAGACGGCCGGCGGCAGTGCGCATGCCCATACCTCGCCTGGCGAAGATGAGCGCGTCGTCGATGGCATGGCTTCGCTCACAGTAGACGAAAGCGAAGCAGGCTACCTAGGAGTTGCGTCGGGCGCTGCAATGCTGAGACTGCTCCTCCCCGGCGCCCACCACTCCTCGCGAAAAGCGCCGCCTGGAGCCCACTTGAGCACCCCTACACCAGACAATGGACACTGGCTGTATACGCCCCTCTGGGACAGCCTCGACCTGGAGGCCGTAGACCTGGATACCGCCATCAACGGCTACTTCAGCCTCTACCACAACTCATATCCCCTGGTCGAGGAGCACACGTTCCGTGCCCAATACGCCCAAGTAATTCCCCGGCCCAGTGGGCGCAGCTGGCACGCCCTTGCTCTTATGGTGGCTGCAATTGGCCACTTCACAACAGCAACAGGCCCTGACGACACGGATCGCAGGCTGTTCATGGCTGCCAAGTCCAATCTGTCTATTATTATTATTATTATTATTCCATTAGAGTCTATCTGCAGTCAGTGACTATG